CTAGAATTTATCTCAGAAATATATTATGCAGACACTAAAGAATATTTAAGCTTCAGAAGGAAAAGAGGGGTTATCAATGAACTGCAGCTAAGATCACAAGCTCCTTATCGGCAAAGAGAAAAAAAATCTATGATAAGCTAAAATATTGATACAAAGCAGAATTAATTTTCAAGATAAAATTTAGAAGCTCCAGGGTTAACAATGCAAAGTCATTTCCTCTTTGCTCAGCCACTCAGCTCTTGCCTTCGATTTCCCTGGCACAAAATAATCACCCCCTGCTAGCAAAACCTACAGGAGCGATTCCCAGTCTTCAGGTGCAAAAGAATCCACTAAGCGGTTGCTAAAATGTTGATTCCTTGCCTCAACCACCAGAAAATGCTGACCAGGTAAGTCTGGGTTGCACTTAGGAACTGACGTTTTAACAGGCACCCCATGTGATGATGGTAAATGTCAGCAGAGGTTCACATGCCAAACTCTTCTCTAAGGCTACAGTCTCTAAACTTCCAGTTGCTACCCATTAATAAGTCTTGAAATCAGCTTAATATGACAGCATTTGAAAAGAAACAAAACAAAATGTTAGTGTATACTGTGCAGTCAATTTTTGGATTCATTTATTCAATACATATTAGGATGGCCAAAAAGTTCATTGAATTTTTATGTAAGATCTTACAGAAAAACCCAAATGAACTTTATGGCCAACCCAGTATATAAGTGTGAGTGTATGTGTGTACTGAGTTGTGAGGTGAGATGCATTTTGGATAACGTCTTAGCCAAAGAAGTCTGAGAGACACCAGAATCACTTCCCTGTGACGCCCTTACTGTCCCTCCCCGCCCAATCTAAATACCAAATCATCACTCCAGCTCCAACGTCCTCCTCCAACCACAGGGCCAAAACAGAAGTGAGGCTGTGTTCTATGTTTATTCTCAAATGTCAGGAAGGATAACTAGTCTTTGGGGTTCAGGAATGAAGGACAGGAGACCTGTTAGACACGGCAGACCCTTGGGCCAGGAGATGCTGTGAAATTAAAAAAAAATGTAGCCTCTCACCTGAGCTCAGCATTTTCGGAAGGTCTGAAGGGAGAAAAGGGATTGGCAAGGAGGACTGGGTGGGAAATGAGGGGCAGATAATAGAGAGTCGGTTGAAACTCAAGAAATTGGAAGGTTAAGCCCACACTTTATTCTTTTTGTGAGGATGATGCTAGTAACCCATCATCAGGAGATGGTGTGGCTTTTGTGTTTTGTTTGTTCGCCCCAGGAATGGGGATGGATACTGGCCCATTCATTCCTATCCTCTTGATGCAGCGTCTAGTGACAGTAAGAGTTTGGAGGTACTGGCTTGGACACAGACAGATCCACAACTTGTTCTCATGAAGACAGCTTTCACCAAGTGGCACACAGCCCCGAGAAAGATGGCAACTGGAAAATAACAGCACGTGTTTTCAGAATGTGTGCTATTGACCCTACCCAGCCTCTTTACTCTGGTCTCTGCAGCCCCTTGGAAATTACTCCACTAGGGCTACGGAGAAAAGTCCACCCAAGGGGCTCAATGAGAATCAGCCTTCATTCCGCTCGGCAAGCCACGCATGCAGTCTGATTTAGGGTTTTCAACTTGAGGAAGGGATGTTTTTCTATTTCTCTGGTCCCATCTCCACACCACCCCTCAAAGAGTACCCTTTCCTACTTCTGTGAAGGTTTAGCACAGGCTAATAGCATCCTGGTGGCTCAGAGGTAAAGAAACTGCCTGTCAATGTAGGAGATGCAGGTTCGATTCCTGGGTCGGGAACATCCCCTGGAGAAGGAAATGGCGATGGACTCCAGTATTCTTGCCTGGGGAAATCCCATGGACAGAGGAGCCTGGCAGGCTACAGTCCAAGCACCCCAACGGGAAGGTAATTCAATTTAATCAACAAGGCACTTGCTTTTTCATGATGTCAGGTAATCTTCTAGTGTTCAAAGGATGCCCACAATCAAGACACAAATACAATTACCAGTCTCTGCTCTGAGTAAAGTGACTCTTCTAATTACCATTTCTCCTTTTAAGCATTTCAAAATTGGAGTGTGGGTTTAGCAGCAAACACATGAATGGACTATTAGGGTAATTGAATTCACACACACCCACACAAAGGTACCTGAGATGTGAGCATCAACCACTCCCACAATTCCACATCATCAGGCTGCAGGACCCTCTGCTACATTTTCACTTCACAAGATCATTTTGGGTGTCTTAGAATGCCCAGGACGCCATCTACCTCTGAGCACCTTATTTTGTTTGGCACCAATTTGGAAGAAGAGCGAAGCCACACGGGAATTGCGCTAAGTGCAGCTATAGAGGGAAATGACTAAAGTGAAGGAAAAAAGAAGCAACCCATTTGCTGGGTCAAGTGGGTCTAGCATAGTCTGTGATCTGCGGTCTCTCAGTTCACACACTGCCACACAAATGTTCCAACCAGTCCACCCACCGCCACTCACTGTGCTAAGTGCATGATGCCTTTAAAGAAAGAGAGATCTATTTCCAGCACATTTTTTTAAAAACATCAGCTATGACAACTTGCATAGCCAATTTACTGTCATGATCTTTGCTGACTGCTTTCAGTACAGGAGGGGTGGGGAGACAAGCGTTTTGCATTGCTGGGCTACCAAGGAATCTTCCTTTGAAGAGACTGCTTCACTCCGGAAGGAAAACGGCTCTCTTCTACACTTGCTATTTCTCTATCCTGCTGTTTAATCACTCAGTTGTGTCTGACTCTTTCGCAGCCCCAGGGACTGTAGCCCGCCAGGGCCCTTTATCCACGGGGATTCTCCAGGCAAGAATACTAGAGTGGGTTGTCATTTCCTCCTCCAGGGGATCTTCCTGACCCAGGGATTGAACCTCCTTCATTGGCAGGAGGGTTCTTTACCACTGAGCCACCTAGGAAGCCCTTCCCTATCGTGTAGATGGGGAAAATAAATGCTAAGACATGCTATTGTGAGGGGCTAAAAAAGAGAAAAAAATACAGCACATAGCAGGCACTCATTGTTACCCTTTCCCTTTGGTGCTGAAGGAAGGTGAGTTACCCAGAACACTTGTTTTCCTGGGCAGTAGACTTTTAGAGCAGACGGGAAGGCAGTGTTCCTAAATAACAGGGAATCAGGAGGGGCCAGCTCTCCGCATGGCACAGCAGAGTTAGCAGTGACTATGCAGCTTCCGCCACTTAATCCCCAAGGGAGTCCTTCCAGCCTCCTAATGGTGTTTGTCAATTAGCCGATTAGGATATGTGACAGGTGGCGAAGCCTGATGTTTGCCAGACAGACACATCAATTCAGGGTAACTGGATAAACTAACTTGTGGCAACAGGCTAAAGCTGGGTCCCCACCCTAAAATATCAGAAATGTCTTGACTTTTCTGTAAAGTCTGTAATGCCTCTTAATGCACAAGGCTCTAGTCATGCTGGCATATTTGCACTCTCTCAGTACACTGCAATCTTTGACATCCTTCTGTATATGTTTCTTTCTGTGCTTTGGAATGCCTTCCCATCCTCCACCTTCCTGCAGAGTCAACACCTCCATCTAGGAAGCATTTCTCATTCCTCTGTAGTGGGTTACTATCAGTCACTCGGTCGTGTCCGACTCTGCGGCCCCAAGGACTGTAACCGATAAGGTTCCCGTCTGTGGAATTCTCCAGGCAAGAATACTGGAGTGGGCTGTCATTTCCTTCTCCAGGGGATCTTCCCAACCCAGGAACCGAATCTGGGCCTCTTGCACTGCAGGCAGATTCTTTTCTGTCTGAGCCATCAGCTAAGCCCTTAGTGGGTTAGGGTCCCCCCCATCTCCAAAGGCAGTCTAGTCTTGTGTCTGTCATTGTACTAATCCCACTATCCTCCCACTGTTTCCTGGACTGTCTTCCCATTAGACAATGTGCTCCTTGGAGATTTACATTACATTCTTTAAGTGAACAAATGCACAGTCTATGTACTGAATGAACGAAACAAAGAAGAAAGAAAAAAAGAAACCAAGAATGGAACACGAATTCAGAATCCAACCTCGCACACAATCCTTTCTTTCACCATATCCTTTGTCAGCAGCAAAATAGCTACTTTCAATAGGTAGTTAGGGAGACTAAAGTCTTTAGAGGAAAGGGGGAGTAGTTGGCTTGTTTCCCCTTCCCACCCTGACATTTATTTGCTCTTCTGGGTAAGACAAATAACTTACCTCTAGTTAACAGATTATTAACTACAGATCTTCTCTGTAAGAAGAATGGAGTGAGACTGTTACTAACTATACCTCCTAATGCATGAACTACAACAAAAAGTGAGTTCTACAAAAGAAAACCAGAGAAGCCTCCCTTCCATTGATTTCGTTGGCCCTGGGCTCCACAGATACTGTCACCAAGGCAGTTTAAACACCTGCCTTGTTTAAACTTTGCCAGCAATTTGAATTCAGTTATGTTTGCAACTGTGAGTTTCCATCCATGAAGCAAAGTGAGGCAACATCTTAGCAGAGATGAAACATAATTAGGCCTTATCTTGTCCTAACCAAGGACATCTAAATTATGTCTCAAAGAGAAGTTTACACTCCCTGAATAACATAACCATCTACTGAGAAGTCTGTAATTGATGATTAATCCTTCCAACATCACCCCGGAAACCCCTTTCCAGTGTAGCTAAGAGTGTATGGCATTTTGAAAATCTTTTCCCCTTCCAATCAAGTTGAAATAACAGATCAACTCATTGAAGCTTCACTTGACACTAGAACCTCAAGCTTCTGCAGGAAGATTTTGGCCATAAATATATTTGTGATGAAGTCATTACTGGAAAGCCAATTTTCCCTGTTTTATGAGATAACCTCTTAAAGATCATGTTTTGAGAACCATCGGTCTCTGATGATCTGCCCTTAAGCTCTGGCTTCTCTCCTCGGCTGAGCCCACAGTAGAATGTCATGATTGCACTCACATCAGGGCACTCACGCTGAGCAGAATGGCTATGAAACATGACCCCCAAGGGAAGAGAAGAGAGTTTCCTGACCTTGTGCAGCTCCACAGGAGTTGGGGACATGATCTCCTTTATTTCCTGCTTCATTTTTCTCAGGGTGACAGATTTCCTGCCCACATCCGAGGGCAGAGTGTTGCTGCGAGTGGTCTGGCTATAGTGTGGCCGGGAGCTGCTCCGTTCCTGGAAGCTGGCCTGTCGCCCCAGCTGACTGCGAGATGAAGGGGCCTCGTGATTCAAACTCATCGTGCTCCCCGACATGATCGTTGCCTGCGGCAGTGACAATTTTCAGAAACAATTAAGCCATCGACTAAGGGGAAGCTTTGGCTGCTCAACATGAAGCACATTTCTCCTTCTGCTCAGTCAAAATACAGTCTCTTCGGGGCATAGCCAAAGGCTGGAGAATGGAGGTACTGACTGCACCATGAAAGTCTGGGAAAATGCTTCGCAAGTGACATTTACAATGCACATAACAAATCCAATTTAAGTACTTAAGCCATTGAGTTTATTTAATCAAATACCACCCCTGGCAGTTTGGAGGCATGCTGAAGAGCTGTAACATCTGCTTACTGCAAACCACATTTTTAAGCAGAAACTTTCCACTGAGTGGGCTCTAAAGATGGGATTTATCAGGCAACCTTCAGTATATCTTACAGAAGTGAACTAAGAACTTACTGGAGATCAGGCAGCCCCTATTGGCAATGGAACCTCCAACCCCACCTGCAGGTAACAACAGGCTGAAATGAGGCTCCTGCTACAAAAGCGAGGGCTCCTACTGAATGTTGCCTGCCGAGCTTGGTGTACTGTCTTCCCTTTGGCCACGCGGCCAGCCCGAGAAGTCAGTAGATGAGTTAGGTCCCCCCATCACTTGGTGTAGGTCGTTGTTTCTTAGAAATGGCCTATGTGTAAGATCCTCACAGAGGTTAAGGAATAATCACATAACATGCTACTGGAATCAACCCTTTGCTCAAAAGCAAGGGGACTTGACTTTTACCAGTGAATTGAGAAGTGTTCCGTTTCCAATATAGTGTCCCTGTATAATACACAACAAATGGCAAGATTAGCTCTCAAAAATGACTGAGTCTCAGAAGTGGAACAAAAAAAAGCATTTGAAACCAATATCATGTTGGGAATGTTCATTTCTCATGGTTGAAGGATGCTAAAATTCTGCAAATATGCCTGTAGCCAGCTCTGTATTCTTCCATATAACGGTTATATAATGGTATACCAGCATCAGTGAATCTTCCCGAAAATAAATTCCACATGCCATATGACTGGCTACAACATGATCTAGTGGTTTATATTGATACTGATGCTAAAGGTAACAGAAGTGTAATGTGAGTCCTTTGAATGTATGCACACATTTAACAACTTTATGAGTTAAGTACTGTTACTCCTCCTAATTTACAGGAGAGGAATCTAAGGCAAAAAGAGACTGACCTACCCAAGGTCCCATAGGTAGTAAATGAGCCAAGTGCACCATCTAAAATTATTGATCAGGAGGGAACACTGCAAAGTGAGTAGAGTTTTTATTTGTTACCTCGCTAGGATTTTATAATTCCAAGCTTCACCTGATGTTGTTATATACATGCCACTAACAAGATCTCTAAATGGCAGCCAAGTATTGGCACACAGGTATGTAGAAAAGAAACAAAATAAGTGGACTTACCACTACATCATAACTTATAACTACATATCATAACATAACTACATCAGTTATCTTACTGATAATTTTGAAAAAAAGAAGTTAGAGTGTTAATATGTGCTAAGTACCATATATGTGTGTGTGTATGTAGAATACCATTAAATACTTACAATAACTCTATATGATAAAGTATTATACTTATATTTCACTTAGGAAGGGGATGCCTGGATCAATGAAGCAACTTGCCCGAGAGTCTGGGATTGTAACCCTAGCAATGTCTCCAAAACCCTTATTCTTGCCCACTAGGCTATATTGATTCTCAGTCAAGTATGAAGTTGAAACATTTAAAATTGGTTATTTTAGTAAATAAAAAAAAGCTTATTATTTATCCAGTGTGAATTATCCATATTATGGTTTATTTCAGATAAATCTCCTTTAATTGAAACCTTTTTATTACTAGCTTGTTGGTAACATGGACATCCTTTTATTTTATGGTACTTAACTCACATATATCATTCTTTGTTTAATCTGCTGTTACTGAAGGCATTCAACAATTATTTCCTTGCTGTGGTGAGCATCCACCTATTGTTTTTACCTACTTAGACTAGTTATTTTCTTTGTTAACATTTATTTTTTATACTCATTTTTCACTCGACTGGCAGGAAGCACATTGGAAGTCAAATAGTCACTACAGTGGGAGACAACTGTTCTACTTTGATAAGCCTTAGTCATAACAGAAGTTATAATCTGATCTAGAAATGGTTCTGATGGAAGCAATGACATAGTATCAAAGGGTCTTCAGATCAAATTTTCAAAGGATGAATTGATTGCTTTGTTTAAAGTGAATATCAATTGAATTAGTGACATCCCTGCAGGAATATTAAAATTAAAACTCAAATACAAAACTAAAAAAAAAAGTAACTATTTAAAGTTTCTTAAGACTTGTTTTTGCTTCACAAGTATGTACCACCGATTTTCATTTTGCACAATTTGTAATTTATACATTTTCAAAATTATCAGTGAGATAACTGATATGCATACAGCTTAGAAGGAGTATGTCCAAAAGTTCTCTATTTGACATTTAGTTAAACCTTCTTCTTATGTTATACTAAGGAAAAATGAGTTAAGGCAGTAGTCATTACTCAAAGAAGTAGCACAAAAATAATTTCTATTGAACATTTAAATGCCATGTGCTGTGTTGTGTCATATAAGCATTAGTCATTATAATCCCTGTATTTTAAAGAAGAAATAACTGATAAAAGAGATTAAGTAACTTATCTAAAATCTTAGTTTGAATTTCTCTCTCGTGAAAATTGTACATTTTTCAGCACTAAAGCTGAACCTAAATTATTGCTAGCAATGGGGAAAATGACTAGTATAATTTTCATTTTCATTTCAATTGTAATCATTTTTTATCTTAGCTAATCTTCTACATTTGTTACATTTATAGTGTGCTTTAACTTTTAATGCTAGATATAAATTTCATATGCAGGAACCTAGCTCCAATAATATTTTTTGCATAGTAGCACTTGAAATCAAGGAATCAGAGTTCATTTAAACTAATAAGTGGATATTCCTTGTGCTAAAAGTGTGAATAATACTCTCACTTATGGATTTGTCAATCATTCTTTCTAGTTGAAAAATTTTTTTCTCTTTGACTATTAATTCAACCCATTTTCCCCCCCTGGATATATAATTTCAAGGGCCACACCTGCCTGAAGTGATGTTAGAAAAAAATCTATTGGCTGTTGCAACATAATTTCTATACTGATGGATGTTGTTTTCACCAGGTAACTCAATTTCTGGGTGAAAACACAACCTCACTGTATTACTTTTTATATCATCTTCACTTTGTTAATACCTAATGTAGAAGAAGCTATTAGAAGAAAAATGGCTTCTTCAAATGAGATTTCAAAATGAAAAATGCAAAAGGCATATGAGCCAAAACATGCTTTTAAAAGCAGTACTATGTTAAAAAATTGTTAACTGAGATCTTTATTCAATTTGGTACAATGCTGATCATTCTCCATACAGGAAGTGGTAAAAGTTCAAATAAGCTACCTGATACTTAAGTATTCTATACTTTTTGAAAGTTGCATGAAAACGAACCAATTGCTAACATCTTAATTTATTTACATTTTGCAGGATTATCCATCTCCAGGTCCTTTAACTGTGCTCTGAAGTTGAAATTCATGCCAGGTAATACCATGATGTTTACGAATTCAAACTAATATTTTTCTTTATAATTCTCTTTGCAGATTCACAAACATTGGAGTCACATAAAATATCCACACATGCAACTGAGAAGCAAAATAATATAAAGATGAGTCATCATTTTAGAACTGCAAGAGTTCCACCCAGTTAGGCCATTCACATTCCTTATGGTGACTTGGGGACCTCATACGACATCAAAATAAAAATGAGACTTTTGCCACTTTCTTTTTTACAGCTCAGAAAATTTAAAAGAACATAAAAGGAAACAGTCCAGGACTTCCCAGACCAAAGTGTGAATACTGTCAGCAAATTTACAGCTTCGATTAAAGAACTCACCAGGAGTTCTGCTATTATACTCCATCTCTCTGCAAGTCCTTGAATTCACACTAAGTTAGCACAGAAGCAGGATTTGCAATTAACAGCAATGTACTCTGTAATATTTTGGCTGCTGATCAAACAGACTGGCCTTTTTTTTACCAGCTGCATTGTCATCTACTTTAAGGGCAAAATGAAGTAAGATCAGATTTCCTCTTATGTTCCTCTTCACGATCAAATTAACGTCTCTACCAGGTACAAATGAAAACATGCCAAAGAAACCTTTCTAAAGCAAATCAGAGAATGACAGACGCCACTGCTGAGACAGCTCGCCTGAGCGATCCAGTGGCAAACAGGGATAGTCGGGGTTAGCAAGGAGCAATGGCAGAGAAGCCACAGGTCAGTAAGCTCAGGGTGGGGGCAGAAATGGGGAAAGAAATACTTGTAACTGCATTGGATAAAATCAAATCACTGTCCGAAAGGCAAGGGGGCAGGGAAGGCAGCTTCACAAGCAAAAATATAAACAGAAAGGGTAGCTACCAAGAGATTCATGTTTCTCAAAGACACACGCCTGTCAGCTTTCTCCTGTGGAAAGGGGTTAAAGCTTTTAAATGAACTGGTGTGACCAATGCCAACTCAAAAGGACCAAAAAAATGAATGTAGAAACAAGAAGAGTAAGTGGCAGGACCGAGGCTACCTCGAGTTCTCTCAGAATCCCGGACTGTCCACAGGTTTCCAGATCCTCCAGCGCTTGGGACCAGAAGTTCTCCTCTTGCTCAGCCTCAGTACTGTCAGGAGGCCCTGTGAAACTGCTGTCCAAAAGCACAGTCCTGGTTAAGAACTTGCCAGATACATATGTATATATACATTTATATACATGTGTGTGTGTTCAGTCACTCCGTCATATCCAACTCTTTGCAATCCTATGGACTATAGCCTGCCAGGCTCCTCTGTCCATGGGATTCTCCAGGCAAGAATACTGGAGTGGGTTGCCATTTTCTTTTCCAGGGGATCTTTCCAACCCCAGGAATTGAACCTGAATCTCCTGCAGGCAGATTCCTTACCATTGCACCATTTGGGAAGCCCAAATACATACATATATGTGTGTGTGCGCACACATGTATGTCATGCTATGCTAAATCGCTTCAGTTATGTCCAACTCTTTGCAAACCCATGGGCTGTAGGCTGCCAGGCTCCTCTGTCCATGGGATTCTCCAGGCACGAATACCGGAGTGGGTGGCCATACCCTCCTCCAGGGGATCTTCCTGACCCAGGGATCGAACCCTCGTCTCTTATGTCTCCTGCATTGGCAGGTGGGTTCTTTACCACTAGCACCACCTGGGAAGCCTATATATATATATACTATATGTGTATATATATATGTGTGTGTGTGTATGTATATATATTTGGATCCAGAATCTCCGTCCCCTTCATCTCACACACAAAACAGATTCATTTTGGATCTGGTTTTCTTTCAGTTGTGGCCTCCAAGTCAGGCCAGTTCTAACAGAAAGACACTGTAGGAAATTCAAAATGTCTCAAAGACTGGAAGGACCATGGTCTTACTAACTGAATTCACAGCTACTGCTGAGTGAGCTACGTCAACATGGCACCGGTGGGGATATCTTTCAGCTACTCTATCTGCAAGGAACGAGAAATCAAACTTTTCCTTGAGAGAGAAAAACATGTTTTCCCCATTCATTATAAACATCAGTATTAAATGGTGTTTAATTATTTATTAAAGATTAATTATTAGTTATTAATCATTAACATTTAATTATTAAACATTATGATTAGATCAGTTTAAGTGGTATCAGATTTATGAGTTTCCTTAAAATATTTTGGTAAGGAGCATACCGCTAAAATAGACTCTCAGTTAAAAATATTGAATCCTCAGTTTAAAAAACATTTTTTTTTCATGTAATTTATTGTGAAACTGGGCTTCTGCGTGGCTCAGATGGTAAAGAATCCACCTGCAATGTGGGAGATCCGAGTTTGATCCCTCGGTCGGGAAGATCCCCTGGAGAAGGAAATGGCAACCCACTCCAGTATTCTTGCCTGGAGAATCCCATGGACAGAGGAGCCTGGCGTGCTAACAGTCCATGGGGTCGCGAAGAGTCGGATATGACTGAGCAACTAACATACACAAACACACACACAGACAGTGTGAAACCACCTTCTAAATGAAAGGAGAGGGAACCAGTCACAGTGAGGACATGGTTTATAGGAGCAGATTTTCCCCATGTGCTACTGTTGTTCTCATTTGGGGAAACTTTAAGGTGGCAGAGCCCAGACTCCTGCTGGGCAGGCTCAAGTCTTTGAATCGGCCATGGGGCCAGCATGGGCGGTGACAGCGGCTTCATGAATCCTTCCAACGTGAGCAGTAGGTGCCACAGGAAGTACAGAAGTTCACATCCGGCCCAAATGACCCGGAAGCAGTTGGGACAGTGCGGCAGTTGGTGAAAACCTTACCCACTGACGGTGGACCGGTCCCACTCTTCGTTACTTAGTCCCACATCGGGGTAAGTCTGGCTTCGGGGCTTTGTGACTGGGGACAGGCTGCCTCTTTGTTTGGGACTTCTCCAGTCATAGGTGTTGAAGTTGTAGCCTGAGGCCTGAAAGCCAGTGCCTGGAACAAAAACAAGCCATTCATTATATTCTGTTCTAGTCACTTGTCTTTTTTCTGTAGTTTCCATTTGTTTATTCAAGGGGTCTGCCTTTAACTGAATTTGGGATCATTAAGGCCATCAAGACAACACTTAATTCTTACATTAAAGACACACTCGTGTCTATTATCCCAATTGATTCTCATAAAAACCCTGAGGTAAGACCCAAGCAGGAGGAGCCTCCAAGCAGGAGGGCTCCTGCCCTCCCCTGTCCAGCTGAGAAATCTGCTAGGAGGGGGGATACACCAAAACCTGTATCCAACCCTTCCCAGAGCAAGTTCCAGAAGGTCAGAACCCTGACTTGCCTGCCCAGATATCCTGTGTCCACTTGCAGGGTGCCAGAGGGCTTCTTACCAAAGCCTGTCCTTCTGGGAATGGAATCTGCCACCAGAGGTGGGTTCTAGGTCCAAGGAGTCGCCAAGGGGTGCTGGTTGCAGGGTGTGGACGGAGCACAGAAAAACTGGCTCGGGCCCACAGATGTTAGGCATGGGCCTGAGGATCACTTCATCCACATTGTTAATGAGTAGAGGGGTCGATTAACTATAGAAACAGCGATGATAGTAAGCCCAGGGCAGGCGTTAACTATGCACCCAGAGCTTCATCAAGTCCTTTACTTGGGGCTTCCCTGCTGGCTCAGTGGTCAAGAATCTGCCTGCCAATGCAGGAGACATGGGTTCGATCCCTAATCTGGGAAGATCCCATATGCCATGGCGCAACTGATCTTGTGCACCATAACTATTGTGCTTTGCCCTAGAGCCCGTGCTCCGCAACAAGAGAAGCTACCACAATGAGAAGCCTGTGCGCCGCAGCTAGAGTGTAGCCCCTATTTTGCCACAACTAGAGAAAAGTCTGTGCAGCAATGAAGCCTCAGCACAGCCAAAAATAAATAAATGAATAAAATGATTAAAAGTCCTTTATTTGTATCACCTTGTTGATTCTGCACAATTATCTCTGAAGGTAGGTACTGTTATTATTTTCATTTGAGGACCTAGTTGGTCCTTGCAAACCTTCCTGGGGGTTCCAGTCCTAATTTTAGGAGAGTCAGATCCTCCCATTCCATAGGAAGGTCTTCCTAAAACGACCTCGCTGAGAAAGCTCCAGGGGGAGAGGGGGGATGTCTAAGATCAGTCAAGGCTCCCTTCTCACTTCCCAATTCACAATTGTTTTCCTGCCCCTTTACAAATGAAAGGCATATTTCTCATCCATATCAAATCTTTGAACGAGCTTGACCCCGGGATATAAAAGCTCCCAGCCATCAGTCGAGGGATAGATAATTAGGGAAAGGCTCCGTCCTGAGGGAAGGTCTTGGAGCGGAGCCTTATTTCAACCAGGCACCGACTCAGTGCAAAGCTTTTAACCCCTCTCATCTATCTCTCTCCCTGCATCTCAGAATTAGAGTTCAGAAGGACAGCTGTCAGGGTGAGGAGGTGCGCACATTCTGATGTTTATTTGACCAGCAAAACAAAGACTGACTTCCTTTCTGACAGGGAGTTAAGTCTGATTAGCTTGATGAGAAAGTGAGGAACGGCTTTGACAATCAGGTTATATAATAGACCATTTCCCACAAATTTGAGCTACATCTGTGGCTTCATATTTTGACAAAAATATATTTAAAGTGTATTTACCACAGACTAGAACTTACTTTTTTTTTTTTTTAAGTATCATAATTTGGGGAGTGAAAAGTTAGGATGACAACCTTTAAGTATGAGGTAGGGTCTGCAGTGTTTCAAAACTTTTCAGGGGGGCTTCCAGTGGGAGAGCAGGCGCTGACTGGCAGGTCTGAGTCTAGCGTTAGTGCTGGAACCACCGTACGTGACTTCAGACGTCACATCAGGTTGTGACTCAGTGCGTGCGTGTTTGCTTACGTGCGTGCTCTGTGTTCAGTCGCTAAGTCAGGTTTGACTCTTTGTGACCCCATGGACTGTAGCCTGTCAGGCTCCTCTGTCCATGGGATTTTCCAGAAAATAATACTGGAGTGGGTTGTCGTCTCCTGCTCCAGGGGATCTTCCTGACCCAGGGATTGAACTCGCGTCCCCTGTGTTTCCTGCACTGGCGGGTGGGTTCTTTACCACTGAGCCGCCTGGGAAGCCCACACGTGTGTACTGGGTTGCAATATAATACTTATTTCTTACTGTGGTTAAAGCACATCATCTAGCAAACAGGCCTAGAGCCACAATTTCACATTCATATAAATGACCCAACAATACAAGATGACTATCTCCACGCCATTCCTTTGCTTCATCTTCCCCATTCACTTTCCCTCTACTTGTTTAGTACTATAATGCTATCCTTACTATTAGTTAGAGCCCAGAGAAAAAAGGAGGTCCAAGGATAATGCTTTCTGATCAAGAGGATTTACCCTCCACCATACAGCCGCTACATGGAAATACCCGCCGCACCTCCTGTTTTAGGAAACCAAGCATCAGAAGTCCTCAGTGCAGGGGCAGTATTTACAGCCCCATATCTCATTTTCTTTCTTGGGTAACTGCAAGTGTGGCTAGACATTTGGGGAGAAGTTTTGCATGATGAATGTTCAGTTTTCTGTCCAAAGCATTGAATTACTGGGAACCCTTGAGTCTCTTCTTAAAGGGGAGTGATGGGGCAACACTACATTTCATCTGGCTCCCTCAGACAGGCTATCCATCTTCTGAAGCAAATAAACCAACACCCAAATACGTGACATCTCTTAAAAAGAGTTAGGGGAAGTAAGTCCACACCTCACTTCCCCTAAAGGCTTTAAATTTGCTAAGAGCAGAATGCTAAATGTTGGTGTTCTCCCAGGGGCATCCTTTTCTGACAGGCATTAACCCATAGACCATTCAGTTCCCAAGGGAAATTCCAACATGTTTTAAACTGAGCAGATTAACTTTCTGATTTTTCCTCCAACTGATGTAAGTAGTTCTTGGTGACTTGAGCAAGACTGAAAGGATGGGCTTGAGCAGATATGAAGCATCATTACTAGGAAAATGCCCCCTCCCCACAAAAAGGCATGTCTGTGTATATCAAGGAAGACTTGTCTTAAGAAGTACTATTAAAAAATTATCATGTTACAACAAAGCAGGGCATGAAAAGGGGATATGCAATGCAAATATATGGGGCTTAGGTATAAACTTAGAAGACGTCGTCTGGTCCATGCTATGCTAGCACAGAGAATGAAGTAAGCAAAACCCAGGTTCAGATCCCAGCTTTGCCACTTGCTTGCTCTGCAGTCCTGGCCAATTCGCCTCCATGTAAAATATAGATAGTGACACACGCTTCACCAGGTTGATACGAAAATTAAGGAGAATAATACACATAAACACTCACAGACATGCCTGGAACACAATGAGGTTTTAATGAAACCTCATTTAATGTCCATTACTTTTATTATTTACTAAGCAACTCAATTTGTCAAGATCTCAGTCTCATTATAAAACAGGGAAAGAAAGAAATCAGCCTGTCTGATTTAGTAAATGTTCCAGGGGCTTCCCAGGTAGCAGTAGGGATAAAGAACTCGTCTGCTAACGCAGGAGACATAAGAGACACTGTGCTTACTCCTCCCCAGAGGATGAGCATCGATTTACCCAGTTGGCCCAGCTCTGCAAAAGAGCCCTGGGAACGTAACCTCGGGCCCTTTCCGGCTCTCCTCGGACTCATCCTCTCCCATGCTGGAGCACCATGAGGTAAGCCAACCTGAGTTCCACTCCTGAGGCTCAGAGCTCAAAGGTGGCAGGAGGCCAAGGCTGCAGCTATGGCTGTGGCAGACTACTAACTGCCTATCAAACATCCACTCTTCATCTTTTAACCAGTTTTGAGGGTGCCTATTTTGGGGGTGCTCAGGAAAAGACTTATTTCCTAGCCTCTCTTGAAGTTAAGTGCTAATTTAACTATGTAAAAAGTTCTGCCCAATGACATGTAAATGAAACTTCTGGAAGGGCTCCTTACAACCCTCTTTTCTGCTGCCTGGAATATAGATGGAATGTAGATGAAACAGCTGCAGCCCCAACAACTATCTTGGGTCATGGAGTGAATCCAAGGGTGGAAACCAAGTGCTAGGCATACAAGAGAAGAAATATTTAAGAGCATGGGTCCTTCACGACACTCTGGAGTTATATACTAGCTCTGAAGTGCCTATTTCTTTATGATTTAAGTCACTCTGCTATCAGGGTTTTTAGTTCTATTCAACTAAGTCAAATCCAACTGACAAGTTGGGGTTACAGTTTGCTTCGTAGATCTGAAAAGAGAAAGTGTTAGTCAATCAGTTGTGTCCAACTCTTTGCGACCCCTCTTGTCCATGGAATTTCCCAGGCAAGAGTACAGGAGTGGCTAGTCATTCCTGTCTCAAGGGGATCTTCCTGACCAAGGGATCGAACCGGGGTCTCCTGCATTGCAAGCAGACTCTTTACTGTCTGAGTCACCGGGAAGTCACCCTCATAGACCTGACTCCCCCCTTATTTAAGTCCCAACATCAGACTTGGGGTGGGGTAGAGAACTAAGAATCCTGAGTCTGGCTGTACATTCAACTCAGCTTTTCTAACAACTCCCGACTCTGCCAAAAAATAAAAAGTAAAAAGTTGATATTTTAATCCACTGCTGACTCCAGTTTCTATTTCCCAACAGATTTAGAACTGATAAAGGCAGGGAAATACTAGCTCTGAAGTGCCTATTTCTTTATGATTTAAGTCACTCTGCTATCAGGGTTTTTAGTTCTATTCAACTAAGTCAAATCCAACTGACAAGCTGGGGTTACAGTTTGCTTTGTAGATCTGAAGAGGGAAAGTGTTAGTCAATCAGTTGTGTCCAACTCTTTGCGACCCCTCTTGTCCATGGGATTTCCCAGGCAAGAATACAGGAGTGGCTAGTCATTCCTGTCTCAAGGGGATCTTCCCAACCAAGGGATCGAACCGGGGTCTCCTGCATTGCAAGCAGATTCTTTACTGTCTGAGCCACCGGGAAGTCACCCTCATAGACCTGACTTCCCCCT